AAGAAAGGAATTATAGCGCAATGTTGCCAAGTAATTCAATGTCTCCCAAACGGCCAACTATACAACAGCAGAAGCCTCGAAATCAGGTAAAAAATGAAAATAATGGGCTTTTATTATGATATTAACATTGATTAAAGCTTACTTCTGATTGTAAATGGTCAACTTTGTTCCATGACAATAGTAATGTTAACGATAACACTCCTCAAGAATTATCAAATGATGCACGTGATACACCTTCTGGACAAGGATTAGATCACTCTTGGATATGGAATAATCCTGGTGAAGGTAAAGTTTGTTTATATATATATATCATGTGAACCAGAATATATTAATAAGAGTGCATAGACGTATCTCGGCCTATCGATCCTATCCAACATCCCATGTATTCAAATATAAACAATAGTGCCGCTGATTTATTATTACCTCATCAACCTGTAAGTGATCATCTTGTGATATCAATGTACTCATATCCTTTTTTATATAGGAATTTCGTCGTAGTTCTTCTCTTTTCTCCCTGCAGCAAGGTTTACTCGCTGGTGGAGATGGTAACTTTTTTAATGATGCGAATTCAAATCCAGAATTAGCAACCACGAAGCCTATGCCTCATAGGAATGCCTTTCGAATATCTCCTTCTTTTGCACATGCAAGGGCGCGCTCTATACCACCACTGCATCGTGCTGCTAGCTTCAGCTATGATAATACGAATGAAGCCTACTTGACCAATTTCTTAACTGACAACGGTGATACGCGATCTACGAACCCTATGCATCAATTTCACCCTTCAGAAGGATATCCTGCCTATAAGCCTTCTTTTGGACTATCCAATAGTCCTCTTCCAGCTGCCAGTCACGGAAAACGTAGTGAAAGTTGGCATGAAGATGACACCTTATCATTGGCTTCCCTTAAGCTGCAGGATAACGGGCCGTTGTCTTCTCCTATTTCATATGATCCTTTTCAATTGACAAAAGAAGATATGGACCAAGAAAGAAAGCTTCGTTTGATGGAGATGCAACAAAAGACGCTACTTCTTAAACACCAACAGCAACAATTATTATTGGCTCAACAACTTTTGTTACAACAACAGCAGCAAACGAATGCACGCACGTTCAATAGCTCTAATACCTCCTCTTCATCTTCTTCATCCTCCAATCGTCAACAGCGTAATCATTACCCAAAAGCAGCAGCAGCACAGGATATGGCTTTTAACATGAGATCACCACTTTTGGAAGAATTTAGAAACTCAAAGCAAAAGAAGTATGAATTAAGGGATCTCGCTGGCCATATTGTAGAATTCAGTGGAGATCAACATGGGTCAAGGTTTATTCAGCAAAAGCTAGAGACTGCAAGCAGCGATGAAAAGGAAATGGTGTTTCAAGAGGTTCTGCCCAATGCTTTACAATTGATGACAGACGTGTTTGGAAACTATGTATTACAAAAATTCTTTGAACATGGTAATCAAGTTCACAAGACTATACTTGCAAAGCAAATGGAGGGTCACGTTCTATCATTATCATTACAAATGTATGGATGTCGAGTCGTCCAGAAGGCTTTAGAATATGTATTGACAGAGCAGCAAGCTACACTCGTGAAAGAGCTGGATGGTTGTGTGTTGAAATGTATCAAGGACCAAAATGGCAATCATGTCATTCAGAAGGCTATTGAACGAGTACCTGCTCAACATATACAGTTTATCATTGAAGCCTTTCATGGACAAGTATATCAACTTGCCACCCATCCTTATGGTTGTAGAGTGATCCAACGCATGTTTGAACATTGCACAGAGGAACAAACAGTAAGTCGTATAATTATTTATTACTGCTCTTCACTTACACGCTATTAGAAGTCTATTTTAAAGGAATTACACGGGTTTACAAATGCATTGATTCAAGATCAATATGGAAATTATGTCATTCAACATATATTGGAACGCGGAAAAGATCAAGACAAGACCAAGATTATGAAAAAGATATCAGGTCGTATTCTTTCTTTGAGCAAACACAAATTTGCAAGCAACGTTGTTGAAAAATGCTTTGAACATGGAACAGAAGTAGACAAGCAAAGCTTTATTGACGAAATAACCGAGTCTTCTTCAGACGGGTAAGATATCATTCTAGTTCTTTTAACTTTTGACCAACATCTTATAGACTTTGCCCACTCGTCATTATGATGAAGGATCAATATGCAAATTATGTAGTGCAAAGGATGTTGGATGTAGTCAATGATAAACAACGTAAAGTTTTGATTGAAAAGATTAGGCCTCACCTATATTCTTTAAAGAAATATACTTATGGAAAACATCTTATTCAAAGTATGATCATATACCAAGCATAGACCCAATCTAACATTTGTATTAGAAGTGGAAAGACTAGTAGCTATGCAAGAAGGTAATGCTGATGATACAGAGTGTCATTAGATTCATACTGTAAAAAGAAACGTCACCTTGTGGATCATGTATATAAGATAGACCCCCGTCTTTGTACCATAATGTATTGTTTTATGATTCTCTCCAACAGAAAAAAAAATGTATAAAGTTTGTCAGTGGTATAGGTTTTTTTTCTTTCCAGATGTAATATAAATAAACCAAATTATTCACCTTTCGTCACCTGATGAATCATAAATATAAGTGTCATTCAACACACACGATTCTTTCTTACATGATGTTGTAATACAAAAAGCGAATGAAGCAAAAATGGGATACATTAGTTGAATCAATTAACTGAGCTTGAACCGTGCTATTTGAGACGGGCCAAGGCGTTAGTTATTTCAGAATACCTGAGCAAGTCTTTCAAATAATAAAACTCATTAGCTGGTTGTCTCCTTTTACAGTTAAAACTAATACAAGTTCAACTAGAAAAAGTAATATGTTACCCTAACACGACTTACCATTGAGCTTTTAATATTCAAATAAAAAAAAAAACTGTATTGTATTGATTATAAGACACATACTTGCTTCGTTCCTCAACTTGAGAAACACGTTATCTATCTGTTCAATCTTTCTTTCTGTACCTTTTCTACAGGCAAGGGCAATGTTATCTGCTACAAATGGTACTTGAGGCGTAGCCTAACGCGTTCAATATGATGGTAATTTCTTGTTTCAGACAAGGATTCACTTGACATACAATGATCCGTCAGTGACAAAAGAGAGACCTAATGCACGATTTAGGATTCAAACTGCTGAAAAGATAAGTACTTACACGACACGAGTACCTGATAGGGGCCATTTTTTTTCCTCCTTGAGAAAGTGCGATATAGTCGAATGACAACAAATATATATATATATGTCTAATTCCTTCATTAATAACAAGAGCACGATTACAAACATGATTATTTATGTGAATAACGATCTTTTTTTGTCAACTTCTTTGTATCATTCATTCTTAAAGTAATCTCATAAGTATCTATTGGGTAAACATGACGTACGCTATATTCAATTCTATTTTGTAAATGGTACGTGTATACTTGCTGAAAAGCACTTGTATTGACATAGTTGCATTTTAGGGGAGCGTAATATTCACGCTACTATTCAGTGCTTAAATATGATGTCTAGAGTTGAACCTAATGTTAGTATAAGATCCGCTACACCTAAATTGAATGTGGTCAACGCAGTTTAAGTAACTTAGCTTCTTCATATATAAATGTTTATGCTATCGTCTCTTTTCTCTCTTTACTTTATTCCAAATAAAGATACACACAGTCTCATCGTACTTTTACTTTGTTTAAACCTATTCCAAAACGCAAGTACAACAGAGAGATTCAGTCTTAGAACAATCTAGTCTGGCCAAGAAGAAAAATCAAAAAGAAGGCAAAGTTTGCATTGGTGTTAAAGTCGATGTTAGAATCTGTTCAGAGTCTTTTGGTGGAAAAACAACTGGTTTAATCGATTTCGAATTTACCAACAGTACAAAGGATGACAAGTTTTACACTGACTACAGAAATATTTTACGAAAGACAAAACTATTGCTGATCGCTTCTACAAGAGTCCATACTTAAAGAAGAGATATAAATATAAGGTCTATATCTGTGCAAATCACTTGTGTAGAAGGTCAGATAAATGATTTACGTCTTGTGGATTATGGTTTGTATGTCTCTACCAAAGTAGGCTCCTTGCGACTTCCTACATCAGGAATTGATTTGAGAAAAGTTGAGCTCTTTTGGATCGATTTTATGATATGAAAGTAAGTGTTAATTCTTGAATTTTGTAGACTAAATTTTGATTACAGAATTCCACAAAGGTTCTGTCAACCTATATGCTGCCATGGAAAACGAAAAAGCTTCTGTCGAAAAATCAATGGATAGAAAACAGAAAAATAAACGTTCCCTGTACGACGACGATGCTACCAGTGCGGCTCTTGGTTTCCACCATCAGCAAAAAAAGACGCCGTTTACCATGTCATTTGGTCAAAATATCTCTTCTCCTACCATTATCATGGAATAAAAAATAATGATAGTTATGAATAATTCCATCATCCTCTACAACGTCAGCACAAGATGGAAGGAATTCTGACCCTCCGAGAATTAATAGAGTCGGACGACTGCATTTTCAAGTTAGATCTGAAGAAAGAATACGTTGCTGCCCCTATCCTTAGGGATTCTCATCCGTACTTGTCATTCCTTCATAAAGGTATTGTTTATCAGTACAAATCTCTACCTTTTGGGCTGAGCGTGGCGGCGTAATTTTTCTCAAAGTTGATGCGATTCGTTATCGAGCCTCTACGAAAACAGGAGATCAGAGCGGCCTATTATTTGTATGATATATGCATATTAGCCAAGACTGTGGAAGAAATGAAGAATAACGTACGACATATCCGAAATCATCTTCAGAAGCTTGGATTTATCATCTACAAATTCCGTTTCTCTGTCCAAAAAAGGAAAGCATAGCCCTCAATTTACAAATATGAAATTCACGTAGGTTCCCTAATCTCTCCTCCTTTAAAGAAAGTTTGTATTTTATTAATCATATTCTATATATCTTTATATTTAATACAGTATTCAAACATTGCACGACAAGAGTAAACCACTCTTTTTTCAAAATAAAAACATTGGCTAAACTTGCGCCATTTTTATACATGTGTGCGCAAAAGGTTCCTTGAAATCAGGAGGTTAAAAATAGGGTGCATGTTACAACTGTAGATCGAGTTTTTCCTTCTTTTCTTTTTCCTTTTTTTTTCTTATTAAATGGGTTACCCAGCTTCCAATATATCACGTTCGACTATTCGAAGAGGAACTGCCACAAACAACAAAAGGACGTCCAATAGATCCACAAGTCCTGCTCTTGTATATGATTATGCACTACGCTGTGCCTTTATTGTCTGGTTTGAACAGGCAAAAATGAAAGGCAAGAAGCGTCATTCGTTTTATATGGCCTTGGTAGAAGCTGGAAGAAAAGATAGACTACAGCCAGAAGTGATAAGAAGCTTGAGTCATAAACTAGAGACTATTTATGCTGAACGTGACATATCGAGACCCGAATACTTGAACACAACATTTCGTGCGGTATGTAAATCATTCAAGGACAAATTAAACGAATCTCGGTGCAAGTCGATAAGTGACTTGGCAGACATGTTAATGCATATATACGACACCAAAGAATTTCATGCTGTCATCGTAGATATCATCGTACAAACAGTTCAAGAAGTGACGCCCCATGTCGTTGCACAGGACCTACTCGAGAAGCTATCTGTCAAAACAACTCAAAATAAGAGAACAAGTGCAGTTGACATGTATTCCATCGAGAGTTTTCCAATGGTTAATCACGTCAAGGAATTGTTTAGAGTGCAAGAAAAAGAGCATCAAAGCAAGCTGAATGAATTAGCTGTCATCTGCACAAAGACGGTATATAGCCAAACATTGGGCTTCAATCTATACTTGCAAAAAAAAAAAAAGAAAGGCTGAAATGAATAGATTAGGCTTTATTGCGTGACTTGAAGCAAGCTATCCATAGTATACATATAAATCAGTCATGGGTCAAGAAGGATGATTTTGAAATTGTTGGAGCGTACGAGCAATGGCAAAAGATGGAAATAAAACAACTTACCGAAAGAATGAATACGATTATCCAAATGTATCCAGATATATCGCTTGGTTCCTTACAGACAGATAATGAAGGCATATCCGATTTTGTAAGCATACACTATATTTTTAAAAGGTTGCTTATACTCTCAGTAGCATGATGACCACTTTACCTTTATACCCAAGTATCCAAAGGATTATTTCCGTTATCTGATTAATGCCTGTATTGACTATAACAGAACTTATAACATTCGACCATCCCATTTACTTTCGGAAGAGTCTGAAGATTTGCTCAAAGAGTGCTGGAAGACATGGAGATTATCTTGGCCGTTTCGGGCTGCCATTTATTTAAACTCTGTCAAGGCAATGCTTCCGAATCACAATATTGGTATAGACCAAGTAAAGGAATCTATAAAGACACTTGAACGAGTTGTAAAAGATCATCCAATCGAGCTTTGGGCAACATCAGATGTAAATTTTATAAAACCAATACACACATGAAGGCTCATCATCATAGTAGTCTAGTTTTGTCAAGCGCGTACTGATTGGTTTAAACAATGCTTTAATGCATGAACTAGCAAACGAGCTAATTGAGTATTGGAATATTAGGTATATAAATATGAAAACACACGTACTTCTTACACCCCTTATTAGTCATATATTGGTTGACGATATGATAAACTTACTAGATCGAGTGGCTGCTATTAATGCATCCATAGGCAACGACTACAACCAATCAAATGATATATTGCAACTAGAACAAACTATCAAGGTGAGTTTATTCTTATAGAATAGAGTCAAGCATCTTGATATTTCTATACAAAAGGGAGCGGCGATTGAACGATGGGCATATATCGAAAAATCAGCCAAGCGTCCAGACAACGACTTGCAAACACTCGTTTCAATGACTAGGATGTTGAATGAAGAGTTCACCTCACTTATTGATAAAAGAATCGATCACATCAAAGTGGTTGGTTCTCCACCATTCCTAAGCATCATCATGGAAGGACAATTACCCTACTTTGCTTTGGAGATGGAGAACTGGCTAAACTCTCCTTGCTCAAGAACTAGCTCGCTTGAGGATGTCCTTGAACTTTACCGAGAGATATTGAAGCTTAACAACACGTGTTCCGCATATAGACTGAGAGACAAGATAATAAAGGTAGACTCTTGGTTCCTTTGTCATGTCAAACGCTGGTTAAATAGCATCAAGGAGTCTTCTATTCACTGGGTTGAACGCGCCACAAGTACCGATTTTGCCATGGATGACCTCTTCTGCATCTTTCATAACGCGATCAAGTTTATAAATGACTTGCAATGGCCAGACTACCTCCAGTACTGCATGTTTATTACATGTTTATCAAAGATCAACAGTGAAGCGATATGCAGCTATTGCAAAATGATCGAGATGCAAATGAAATCAACGTTATCCATGGAAGAAACGGAACGACTAGCCATATCAGAGACGTCTATTTTTGGCATGGCAAAGCATCATTTGTTGGGTGACAAGACGCTATCAAGGGGCCCCTTACATGTTCATTCAGAGGTAATTTTTACATAAAACACACAAGTGTCCCCTAAAAACAACTCACATAAAAAAATGATAAGCTCTGTGTTAAATTAAACCAAATAGAAACTGCTCGTAAAAGACTAGACGAGCTGTATCAGTCCATGGACGGAGGTAAACTGGCACAGTACATGAGAGCCACTATGTCAGAAGAGCATCATACATCCCAGACAAGTCAGTACTCTATAAAAGTCATTCGTGCAGAGAATCTACAGCCTATGAATCGAAATGGCTTGAGTAATCCATATGTGACGCTTGAGATCGATAACCAGTGTATGCTTAAAACGAATACCGTCAGTAACTCACTTAATCCTTGGTGGGATCAGGAATTTACAATAGCAACAAAGAACGGAGTGGATGTTTTGGCTATTGTACATAGCGAAGGTATCTTGGCAGCCGATGATGAATGCGGAAGTGTTTGGTTCAAGCTCTCTCAGGAGTTGTTTGGAGACTTTCAAGTTCATGAACTCAACTTGTCGTTATCTCCTCAAGGACAGCTCATGCTCAGAGTAAGTATGGATGGCGAGAAAAACGATATTCAATTCTGGTTTGGAAAATCCTTTCGTGCTCTTAAACAGTCTGGGAATGATATAGCTGAATATATGGTCAATCAGGTAAAGGCACGTTCATATTTTACTTGTAAATGCTCACCCCTCCCGTTTTGGATATAGATGGCGCCTTATATCCAACAATACTTATCACGACAAGTGTTAAGTACGCTTTTAAAGAAAGAAAAAAGCATATTCCTGGCATTTAGTCGAGCGCCTTTAAAGAATACAATGGGACCCACTATTCATGAATGCGAAAACGTCATCGTACCTCTCATCAGCTACTTGGAAAGCAATCTAAAGATATTCTTTGATAACTTATCCGACTCAAATATGCAATCTGTCGCTCTCAAATTATGGAAACAGATCCTTTCCTGTCTAGAGAGCATACTTTTACCACCACTCTCTGAGCATATCTCAGATATACCACCCTTGGATATCTATGAGCTTAATGTTGTCTTTAAATGGTTAGAGGTAATCCTATTTAAGCATAATAAAGTATATGCTTCTTATTGTTTTATTAGCTCTTGAAAGTTTTGTTTAATGGCGGAGAAGACGGAGATGGAATAGCTCTAGAAAGCTTAGAATGCCAGGAATACTATGCGCTTTTGTCCTTAAACACGTTTTATCAATTAAGTACAGAACATCTGATACAACTTTGTCAGGCGGCAAAAAGAGCGAGTGATATCGTCACTATGGAAACAAATAAAAGCAGCAGTCGTAGTAAATCAATCTATCGTTCAAAGAGCACAATCGATAATACAACAAGGCATGACATGATCAATTTGGATGTGCTATCCATGGAGGCTGTCTTACGCTTACTACGAATGAGACATCAAAAGCCTGCGATCGAATACCTGCATGAAGAATTCGAAAAGCGTAATGACTCAGGATATCAGAATGACAGAATGGTTATACTGTAATAATTATTGGCTTATATGCGAAATAAATGACTTGTTTATAAAACATGATGATCATTTTTTTATTGTATAACTGAATTATTTTTTAACCTTTGTTGCAAGGTCGTAACGCTCAATAAACAATGAGCTAATTAATGCAAGGAAGGCAATACATATACAAGCATAGCATGTATAACGGTATGCTACTTGATAGGAATCAATAACAATAGTTACGATATCAGCAGGCAATAAGTCACGGACTTCTGTCATGGATTTACGAGCAATTTCAATATACTACACGTACGAATAGGATCAGTATTTAAAAGGAATTCGTAAGTTAACCTTACCATTTCAGCATTTGGACCATGAATCTTTTCAACCAAGATATTTTTTACTACACCTTGGAAAATGGCAGAAGTAGCAGAGATACCAAAGACACCACCAATTGAACGGAACAAGTACGACATGGAGGTGATGGTTGCCATTTCTTTTTAAATTAGGTTAGTCTTGTCAAGGTCTGTACTACTAAACCTACCTGTGGCTTCAACGGATGAATGCATTGCGATCAATACCAAAACGAGTATAGAACCGAGGGCAAGGCCATCTGTGATTGGATAAAGGATGTAAAGGATACGTGGGGTATTGGCCGACCATGTACTATAAGCAATCATGGAGATAACCAGTAAACAAGCTGCAGCAATGGTAAGTTTCTTATATTCGCCTGTTCGTGACATATAAACACCGGCCATAACAGAACCAAAGGGAGCTGCTGCTGCTCTTGATAGAGAGAATAAACCGGTGGTAGATGGACTATAGCCTAGAATCGCCTAGATTACATGATTAGAATTCAATAATACAGATACACGGAAAGCATTTTACTTGAAAGTATAAAGGGTTAAGGTACATCATGGCCATGCCACACATGAGAGTCCAAAAGTTTGTCATGGAGCTTGCCAAAGGTGTACGACTGGAAATGATCTTCCAGGGCATAATAGGATTGAGAGCAACCTTGGCTTCGATAAAACAGAAGAGGATGGATAAGATAATGGAAGCAATAATACATCCAACGACCAACGAATCAGACCATGGTCTGATGTTTCCACCTAAAGATGTTGCAATAACAAATGCAATGACTGCCAAAACAATGGTAGTAGCACCAAGGTAATCAATCTTTTTCAACTTGTCTGAGAATCGTTCTGTTTGTTGGTTTTCGTCCAAGTTATAGTTTGTCAAAAGATTGCTTGATACATACAAGGTAACCAAGAGGAAAGGTAAATTGATGTAGAAACAAAAGCGCCATCCAAAGGTGTCAGTAAGGAGTCCACCCAGCGGAGCTCCGACGACAGATCCAACCTAAAAAGATATAAATACAAAGAAAAAAAATCATGCCTATATTTACTTACAGCGTATGCGATATTACCATATGCTTGGAATTTTCCTCTTTCTCTCAAGGGAACCAAGTCCGCGCAGATGACAGTAGTCATACTACATAAAAAAAACTAAATGACTGAAACGATGGCAAATCCAGGAATATCTTACCAATTTATGCCTCCGCCACCGATGCCAGCAATAGCGCGAGCAATAACTAAATACCAAAGACTTGTCGCTGTACCGCAGAGAAGAGATCCAATGAAGAATACGACACTAGCAAATAATACAGCAGACTTTCGACCAAATACATCCGAGATTCGGCCATCTAGGTATTAAATTAGGAAAGCCGCCACTTTAATATACTTTTTGTTTGCTCGTGCACGTTAGGTTACACAATTGCGGTTGTTAAACTTACATAAGGGTTGAAGGGCAGTGTAGCTAAGCATGTATGAGGTTGCAATCCATACAATCTCGTTTGATCTAAAGGATGAATAAATATATTAAGCCATAGAGAGGGAGACCTCTTTTACCTTTTGAATTCAGTACCAATTTGTGGATAAATAGAGGCTACAATGGATGAATCCAATGAAGACAACACAACTGCTGTCCAGAGGCTAAACCATTTAAAGTCTGTGTAAGGATATACTTAAGCTATTCAATACTTTTTTTACTTGCCCAAAGAGAATTGTATATAAAGATGCGTTATTCAGTCTCTTCCTTAGTGTTTCATCTTCCGAACTGGGTAATGTTGGTGTATTTGAGTTGCTGGAGGATGAAGAATTTGAAGTAATGATGGTAATTGTCTCTTCACGATTAGAGTCGCCATTTGATCTATAATTTGGACTATCCTGGCTCAATAATGGTGATGTTTCTTGAGCCATCTTGTAGCGAAATATGGGTGCGCAAGGAAAGAAAAGAAAAGAAAAAAAGAAAACGACAAAGACAAATGCTTTTAAATTATTATTTTTATTGTACAACTCAGGGTCCGTAACTCATTGTGTTACTCGCAAGTCAGACTATATTCATCGAATTGAACTGTGATGGCAAGTATTAGCAATGGACGTGTACATTTCATAAAAGAAGTATAATTTGTGAGTAGATTTGGCCGTGACAAACACATATACTTTATGATTCGTAGTTGATTGCGATATAATGTCACAAGAGACAAACGTTTCCTTCTTAAGCCTTCAATTGCTTTTTTTTTTAATGGAAAGGAGTGAAAGCGTCCTTGTTAAAACTGAGTTGAAAGTGCTGGGTTGTAAATAGCAGATAGTGACTGTATGCTTGCCTATCGATTAATGGGCCATAATGTAAAGGTATTCCTCCTGTAATGGTTCAAATGGTATTACGCACTATATTAAATAATGTATCTTAACAATTATTTTTCTGTTTAACTCGCCCTACAAGCTTCTATGGAAATCAAAGCGCCACGTTTAGAGCTTATTCTAGTAAGTTTTATGCTCCTGTATTTTTATGCCACGAAATGCTCACATACGAAAGGGCAGTGTAACCATTTGAAATATGAACTCAACTGTAAATTTGCCCAATTGCAGCTGGACAAGTTCGCTTTAAACCATTTTTAATTAAATTTATCAACTAATACACTCTCTTCTTTCTTCTTTTTTATTATTAAAGAAAAGGACGCAAACAAACAAGTATGCAATCTCGTTGGCTGTGTTTATTCTTTTGCACAGTGTTGCTACTTTGGACTATTTTACCGTCAGTCAATGCAGCTGTCATGTCAATTGACTATGGTACAGAATGGTTTAAAGTAGGACTGATAAAACCAGGCATGCCCTTGGATGTCGTTTTAAACAAAGACTCTAAAAGAAAGACTCAATCTGTTGTAACTATACGTAACAACGAACGTGTCTATGGCACTGATGCTATTAGCTTGGTAAGATTAAACTGCTTCAATTAAAATAGTCAACTTATTTCTCTTTAGGCTGGAAGATTCCCTCACTTAACTTATATGAACCTCAAGAGTATTATTGGAAAAAATTATAACGATCCTCTTGTTGAAGAATATAAAAATCGACATGTCAACAAAATGATTGCAGACAAAGAAAGAAATATGCCAATTTTCGTTCATAACGAGACTGTTCAATTATCAGTGGAGGAACTTATTGCTTATCAGTTTCAAAATGCCAGAGAACAGGCATCAGTTACAGCAGGTGAAAATGTGAAGGATGTGGTGATAACTGTAAGTATAATATGTGTGTTTTTCTTTCTGGAACTTACATTTTATATATACAAGGTTACACCATTCGCAAACCAATATGAACGTCAAGCCATTTTGGATGCAGCTGAGCTTGCAGGATTGAATGTGTTGTCCTTAATGCACGATGAAACTGCTGGTAAAATAGCAACTAATGTCCTTCATACTAATCCTTATTCTCGGCATATATAGTTGCCCTCAATTTCGCTGTCAATCATGATTTGGGTAAAGATCCTGAAAACCATGTATTCTATGATATGGGAGCAGGATCTACTGTCGCCTCCATCGTCACATTCTCAGAAGCAGTCGATAGCAAGACAAAGAAAAGCGCGCCTCAATTAGAAGTTAAAGGCGTTGGCTTTGACCGTACCTTAGGTGGCCATGAGATCGATGTCAGACTACAACAATTCTTGGCTGAAGGCTTTATGAGATTATACCAAGGAAAAGTAAAGTCGGATATCAAGCAATCCCATGGATCTATGACTAGGCTCTTAAAGGAAGCAAACAGAGTGAAACAGATTTTGAGCGCAAATACGGAAACCTTTGCTTCAGTAAGTAATATATGCTTTTTTTTTTTCCTGAAACGTATGAATATCTTACTGTGATCATAGGTTGAAAGCCTTCATGAAGGCATTGATTTTAAAATGAAAGTAACCAGAGCAGAACTGGAAAACATTTCCAAGGATTTGATCGCTCGTGTCAAGGTTCCTCTTCAGACGGCTCTATTGGCTGCAAACATGACCATGGTAAAATATGAAGTCGTTGACACCACACGTTGCTTACTATTGATATTTAGGATGATATTAAGTCCGTTATTCTCGTCGGTGGCGGTGTTCGTGTACCTGCTGTACAAAGTCAATTGAATGACTTTGTGGGATCGTGAGTATTTTATATATTTTTACAATATATTCCTAATCCTCTCTTTTTACGCAGTCAAAAAATAGCCAAAAACGTCAATGGTGATGAAGCTGCTGTTCTAGGCGCTGCATTCCGTGGCGCCACTCTCAGTAATCAATTTAGACTGAACAAACAGATCAATATTAAAGACATTATTGTTTATCCAATTGATATTGTGTATACACCTGAAAACAATGGAAAAGAAGGTGATGATACACTATGATTCATCCCATAGGGATGCTAACTGTTATTCTTTAGCCACTCAGCCTGTCAGTACGACTCTTTATAACAAATTTGGCAGCATTGCAACCCAAAAGATCATGACGTTTAACCGTAATACCGACTTTGACTTTGATATCGAGTACGGAAAGGATGCTGATGCTGGAATGAGAAAATTAGCCCAAGTACAAATAAGCGGCTTAACAGCAGCCATGGAAAAGCACAAGGATGACATCAAGGCTTCAGAACATCCTCCTAGAGTACGAGTAACATTTGACCTGTCTGACTCAGGTATACTTTCTGTTTCTGAAGCTATCCTTAGCGTAGAAAAGCCAACATTTAAAGGTAAATAGAACCATTTGTAACCAATAATCGTGCTTATATTGATTGCCAAAGATAAAGTTAAGTCATTTTTTGGAGTCAAGGATACGAAGGAGGATGAGGCAAAGGTATACAAAGATACGCTTGCCTTAAACAAGTTATTAACAGGTGTAACTTTTAGAAAAATGACACAGAGCAAGAAAAGTCTCGACAAAACGAAACTGAAGCTGCTGTTAACAAGACAACTACCGAAGAAAACAAGATCTCTGTCGTAAAGGTTCCGTTAACGATTCATTACAACCCTGTGGAAATCATTCCACTGCCCACAAACGAAAAGGCAATTGCAAAGAAGAGGTATGAAAGAAAAGAGTGAAAAAGAACAAAAATACTTACTTTGCATATAGAATTCAAGAACTTGATTTCATGGATAAGCAAAAGAAGCTTCGTGAGGAAGCTCGTAATGCTTTAGAAGGCTTTGTTTATCGTGTTCAAGACTTTTTATATGACGATACTGTACAGATTGTAGCTACAGAAGATGAGATTGAAAAGTTTAGAGAAAAGCTTTCAGAGACATCAGACTGGCTTTATGATGAAGGAGAACAAGCAGATACACAAGTTTATAATACCAAGCTAAGAGAACTTCAGTAAGTTTATTTCCAGTGCAAAGAGATGTATCTAATCCTTTTTTTAAAAGATCTATTGAAAAACCTATTCAATACCGCTTTAAAGAATATAATGAACGTTCAAAGAACATTGATCGTCTTACATCTGCTATTAAGCTGGTCAGAGACTTTGTTGCTAGTATCCACAATCAACCCGAAGAGGATCGTTATCACACCGAAGAAGAATTACAAAGTGTTTTATTGACTGCTAATACAGTAGAAGAATGGATGAACGAGCAAATTGAAGCTCAAAACAAACAAAACGAGACACAAGACCCTATTATTACTACAGCAAAAGTCTTGGAAAAGAAAAAGCTTCTTGACGATGAATTTGTAAAGTTGCTTGCAAAGAAAAAGCCCAAAAATAAAAAGGAATCACCACCAAAGAATAAAACAGATGAGGAAAGCAAGGAAGAAGAAAAGCCCTCGGAAGAGCATAAGCATGACGAGCTTTAATCACTGTATAAAACAATAGAATTCAATATAAAAATAAATAAATACCAATTCATTGTCTTTGATTATTTACAATAAACTATAATGACAGTGGCTGCAATACGCATGCATGGCCGCAGCCAGTTGCACATAGTTTCTCTGTAGCAAACCATCCTCGCATATGAGCAAGATGACCGCCGTGGTTACAGCCTTGACACCATACATAAAGGCCTTTGACTGTCTGGTGACTATGTGATTGCTTTAGAATATAGCAAATAGATACAAATGCTCTTACCAAATAGTACAAGGGTTTAATAGTCTATGACACTTGTCACAGGCCCATGCCCCGTTACTTGTACCTTGTACTAGCTTGAAGCATGTATTACATGCAACATTGATTGTTGTAGCATTCTATTATTCATCAGTCTTGCTTTAATATATTGTTGTAATTTACAATACCTCATTACGTTCCCTCACATTCTGGACTTTGCATGCCTTGATAATAGCTGTAGCCGTAGACCAGAGTTTGAATCTATGTAAAAGGTCTATATATGCTGTAAACCAATCTTCTAGGCGGTTTTCATCTATATCTAAATACTTTTCCAATACTAGATACAAAGTAACGCACATTTGGACATCGCCCTAATAAACTGTAAAAATTCGTGATACATTGGGTATATTCTTGTATAGAGTTACCTGCTCTGTATAATAGTTGAATAACTCCATCACTGTAGCATCATGCTGCCAAGGGGTTTGTGGACTGAACTGTACTTGTGTTTGTGACAATGTGGTATTTAAGCTGTCTGTATATCCCGATGACTGTGATAGCTGCTCATAGCTGTCTATGCTGCCTTGTACTTCATTATGTTGCCTTTCCTCTTTCTTGATGATGTTATTAGAGAAAAAAATATACTACTCCTCACTTGTCACTTACTATTTTGGCTTCTTCTATGCTTTCCGCATCCAGTTGCTCGTTTTCTACATCTTTCTCTTGTTCGTTATAAAGTAAAGCTATAATTCTCCATGTTTGTGAAGTACGATAGCGCCCCATTTTCCATGCCAGCTAATTCAATGAGTTACTAATCCGTTGTAAAACAACTGTATTATTACCTCTGCATTTTGATCACAGGCAAATGCAACATTGTCACTTGATATAATGTATTTTTCAGCAAATATACAGAATGCCTTGAAATCAAACAAAGGCATATGAGCGATGCCACAACTCTGAGGAGGAATATATTGAATCACTTCCTCATCAAAAGAGGTTCTCACCCCAAGCTTCTTCCAATTCTTTGGTGCTTTTGGAATAAGTGACTCATCAACAAAGGACGATCTTTCACTTCTATCGATAGTAAATGCAATATCGCCATGGACATTCCAGCCCATTCCGTTTCTCTTTAACAAATCCACAGGCTGATATGCACGTTTAATATTTTGCTTGATGAACCATTTATCCTTAGATACGGACAATAACTCATCAGAATTTGACCATAGAAAGCCTATCAATACTATGAGCAAGCCCTTTTCTTTATTTTTTTCTGGTATTTTACCTGTTGGGGTTGTATCATGCTCATCAAAGACATATTTTGCGATGTGAGGTCTTCTAATATCCCAAATATGAATTCGATTGTCAGTAAGGAGTGCACATGAAGCTATCTCATCTTCGTAGCCCGGTCTCCATTGGATCCGTGAGACAGAGGCTACTGTTCTAATGGTATATAAAGGACGTCTATTGTCTGTTGACATGTCCCACACCTAGAACCGTTTTATAAATCTGTTGTAAAAGCACACATATACTACCTTTATTGTCCTATCTCTTCCTCCACTTGCAACCAATTTCCCACCAGAGTGCCAATCAACTGTTAGACAAGGGCCATTATGAGCGTTTAGTTTGCGATCGTATAATGCTTTAGGGTTTCTTATGTCCCATTTCTAGTGTCTATGTTAGACTATATAAATATACTCAAGGACAATATACCTGAATTGTTCCTGTTTCGAAAGCAGCTGCAAACTCATAAATATTGACTGGATTAAATTGAACATCTCGTACGGACTCTGATTTCCCTTCAAACCGATATCTTGCACTGTTTCTGGAATCACGAAAATCCTATATTCTTACAAGTTGACAAGAAAACCCAATATACATATATTCACTACTTACCCAGCATTTCATCATTCCATCTTGTGAAGCACTGAGTAATATATTTCCATTATCAGGTTGAAAGGATATTCTATTGACAGCACGAGAATGCTCGGTGATGACACGCTCTTTTTTTGTATATAAGGTTTTATATATATATATATATATCGAGTCATCACATACCTGATTTACGACCTACTTTATGTAGATCCCATAATATGATGGCACCGTTTGTTGCTGCTGTAGCTACTTTATACTTTGTAGCTTTGTGTTTATGTGTAAATAACCGGTCTTTCATAATTTTTTTTTTTTTGTGTTTACCATTGTTTCCCCATTTGACATCATTGCTACTATAATTCAAATTCAATTGACTGCCTGCACGTAGATTAAGTGTTTCCACCACTCTTGTCTTGCTGAATGAAAGAACCTTCAAAACTTTAAGGTAAGCAAGTAAGTTCTCCATCAACATGTTGGCAAAGTATGCTCTTACTTTCTCTTCCAGCAACAACAACAGCGTTACCCTCTGGAGACATACTTATTGCATTAATGGCGCCTGATAAACGCTCACGTATGATGGGCTCATCTTGATCAAAGGAGCGATCGACACGATTCGGATGACCATTCAATGGCATAATAAACAATTAGAAAAAAAAAAAAAAAGAGATAAAAAATAGATTGTGTGGCTGCAAATCAGCAAGCTCTTGACTTCCCCCTCTCCTTCTTTCTTCTCTCTCTCTTTTTATTTAAAGTCTTAATTCTTTTCTTTCTTGATCTTTGGCTAAAAAAAAAAACAATGATTAGATACAACGTATTATTTGGTCGTTAACTCACATTTTGATGATGAGGAACAGAGTAAGTAGCACCTTCTGTTTTCTGGAGGATACTTGAGTTTCTAAAGTCCTTGATTGTTTTATATTTCTCCAATAATTGCTTCATACGAGGATTGAATTTTAGCTTCTTCTTATCTTTGCGATAATGATTGTAGGCCCAGAATTTCTCTAATCCATACAAAGAGCCATGGTCATAGTCTTCCAGGGTAAGTTGCTCGAAATCAAGAAATACGTCAGGACGATAACGACGTTCAAGTCCATAAGAGTAGAAACGGAACAAACATTCCAGGCCATAACGATAGCCTTGGTTGGCGTCTTCAATGGACAATCGCTTAAATTCGTTATACATGCGGTTATTGAAGTGATCACGCAAGAAGTGCGACCAGAAACGATAAAGGGTATTCATTTCATGCGACTGGCCAACACCTAACTGCTTGCGCTCCTTTAATGCTTTAGCGTGGTACTTGTGGTATTTGTGCTGAACGAATTTATCGCGTAAAAGCTCATGGCTTGGGTGTTGGAAGCTTCCAAAGGAGTGAGCCATGTTACTTTCTAAGGAGGTGGACAGGGCAGGTGATTTTCCAAGACTGGTTGACAAGAGACCATCGCCAGAAGGATGGTAAGGCTGATCACTCAACACCCAACCGACATGAGCTTCTTTATGAATAGGGGCATTGGCAGGAAGAGACTCGGGTTGAACAGGATAAAAGCGAGTGGGTTTAGCGTCCTCTTTTTGTTTTTTGAAATGTTCAGGGTCCAGTGTTCCAATCTTTGACTGAGAAACTTGGGTTTTACGTCCAACGCCGGTTTCATACTGATACAATCCCTCATTGATCATGTCCAGTATGTCATCGTTCATCTTTGCGCGGTCAAAATGCTGGTGTGTGCGATCTCTCTTGTGCTGAGTGACAATCATGATGCGTGCTACTTTATCATCATCAAATTCATCGTCCTCTTCCTCCTCGTCAGAGATGTAGTACTTTTTAATCGTGTTGGGTCTGCTGCCATCAATCCACTCTTCGTCTTCAAAGTCAAACAGGTCTTCTTCATGGTCCTCTTTCTGAGGCTTTTCTTGGATTGACTTTCTACGTGCCTCAGGTTGGATGGATTTTCTACGTACCTCAGGTTGAGGATTGCTTTGTGCCTTTGTCGTTTTCTTTTCAGGTAGAATCCACATCTCCCAGCCTTCTTTTCTACGCAACATGGTAGCATCTTGATTCATTTCCAACAATTCTGAAAGCTGTAAGGAAGCACGGACCAAGTCCATGTCGACTGTTAGGTTTTTTATTCTGTTGAAACCAGCGACCAAGCTGATGGGTACATAACCCTCAGTATTCATTTGGTTCCTTAAATACAAATCTTTACAAAGGTTGTCAATGCTAAAGTAGTATTCGATTTGCTGCAAGATGTATGATTTGAGCGTGTCTGCGTCTTGATAAGGCTTAAAGGACCGTCTGAAGCCTATATCTGCACGACCTCTTCCTCGGCCAGGTCGCCTACTGCCACCACGAAGTGCATATGAGCGATTAAATTGAATATCAGGCACGGAATTTTCGTTCTTGTCCTGTGACACGTCCTTCCGATCCTGTTGTCTTAACTTTTTATCATTTTTATCACGTTTGGGAAGACTTGAATGAATGATGGTAGGCGTGAGTGGTTTCCATTGTCCTTTACTAATTGATTTTGTTGATATTGATTTTTCAGGAACCACTTCTTGTTGTTTGAGTGCTTCTACTGGAGCAGGCCATGCATCATCTATTTTGCTCTAAATATCATTATATAGATTCACAGGACATGTTTATACTATCTATGTTATTACCATTCACCACACTTGTCTGAGGGGTGTTCAACTTGTTGACTTGCCATACGTTGACAGCAGGGATAGGTGCAGGCACTTTCTTAGGTTCCGTCTCAGAATGGACCGACTCTGTTACCAAGGTAACCATATTTTTTTTTTTTTTTGCAAGTAAAAAGAAAGAGGGGAAAAAGTGTGGTGGGCCCTTTTTAAGCTTTTTTTTTCTCAAACCTGGTTCAAAATTTTTCGTGTGTGTGTGTGTATGTTTTTTTTTTTTTTTTTT